GGGCCGGGGATATAGCTGAGTGAAACAAGTGCCTGCCTGGCAAGTGCAAGGTCCTGAGTTTGAGTGCTGGTACCAAAAAATAAAGAAGTGAGAAGAATATTCTAGAAATAACATTGAGGTATAATATATGGAAACATTTAAATGGTTCAAGAATTGAATTTACTGAATGTCTGAAAAGGAAGGAGAAATAATTGAGAAATTATTTTAATTTTCTTGACAAAAATATTAATTCATAGTGACTTTTGGAAAGAAGAAGGTAGTATGCTTAGTGCACTCATTGTAGGGTACGAAGTTACATCAACAGGCTGCAACATGAGCGCAGTAAGGAAACACAAACTAAGGATTGTAGATGGTGACTTTGAGTGGGAGTGTCGGCTTTTCAGTAAATCAGGAGAAGAGCAATTTGAAGGAGACTCACAGAGGGTCCGAGCCTTGGGAGTGGCTCACAGGCAGAGCTGGGAACAGAGACTTGCTGGAGGTTATGCCGTCATCGCGGATGAGGGGGCTGTGTACTCTTGCTGTCTTCAGATGGGGACACAGAGCTGGGGCAGTTGGGGGGTCTGCATGCAGCGCAGCTGCACAGATGTCCTAGACCTACCTGTTAGCACCTCCTGCAGCCAGGGAGTGCAGAGGCAGAGAGAGGAGAAAAGGGTGAGAGGGGAGTCACGCAGCCAGCCTTGCTGTCCCTACGCGTTCGTGTTTATCCTGCGCCAGGCACTGCCCCAACTGGGAGGGTGTGACTGTGGTATGTCTTATGTCTAGAATGCTTGATTCTGGTCACTTGGAGAATAGTTGAATAAGAAATAATTTGTTAAGCAGAGGTTGTCAGATTCTGGAAACTGAGAAGGAAGGCATTTGACATAAGCAGTATCTGGTGCCGGCTTCACAGGGGACAGTAGGTGAGCGAGGACAGGATGACTCATAGTTGTAGCCTCAGAGCTGTGCTCAGGGTGCAGTGCAGAGGGGGAAGGAATGTTCCATCTTAATGTAAAATTTCCTTTCTGACATCAGAGAGAAGTTTCTCTGCAGGGATATTTCTAGGGGAAATTTAGGGTTTTCACATTGTCACCAGAGCTTTGGGCTGTGCAGTTTAAAACCATGAGAGTAAAACAGTGACAGAGTGAAACAGGGACAAAGGCCAAAGGATCCAGAAATAGACTTTTGATGCCAAAAGATAGAGGCTCTAGGTCTAGTGAAGAAGTCACAACTATTGAGTTTAGAGAAAAGAACTGCCTGTAGGTTATATAGTTGCCTTGAATCTTACATGAAATGTAAGAAGAATGTAAGTAGTGTGGGTAATTCATCTCTATTGAGTACTTGTCATTTGAAAAGTTATATTTTAGTAAGAAAAAAGTCCTGCATCATGTCTTATGATGCATTATAACCCACAGCACAGAAAGCCTGTCCTTGGGGCTCAGGTGCTCCTGACGGGCTCTGGGCCCATCTGGTCCAGCTCCCAAAGTGGGAGGCATTGTTGTCTGTGTGCACATTCACTGCTAGGATGTTGTGGTGAATGTTTGTGTGTGACTAGTGGTGCCTTGACGTCCTTCTGTCCTGGAGCCACAGCAGTTGGGCACACACGTGTGGCTGCCACACTGATGGTAGGCAGTGGTCGGCCAGGACCCACCTCTCCATTTCTACCCTCCTCTCTCCAGGCCCCATGTTTTCTTTTCTTTCTGACCCCAACCCCAGCTTCCAAATATAAATTCAGTCTGTGGAGTTACAGTGTTTACATTTGTTTTCTGATTAATTAGTGAGTAAATGAATTTCACTGGATGTATTATTTATCTTTTGACCTTTACATCAAAAGATGTAACTGAGAAAAGAAAACATGTGCTCCTGGTGGCAGATGTGGGAGGCAGCACAGAGGAGCGTGAAGACAGGGTCCTAGGTGGGGCTCCGCAGCTCTTCCCTTTGGGCCCTCAGTGAACTTGGGCTGGGATGGCCTGCCGCAGGCTTACTTCTCCAGGGAAGGGTTTGTGTGCTCTCCTGGCTTTGCTTATAGCAGGCGACTTTCAAATGCTTTGTTAAAGCACTGGAACACTTGAGTGAAACTAAAGGAGATGCTGAGTATGTAAGAGTAATTGAAGATGACCTTTGTGGACCCATGCACTCTGATCACATTTTCACTGTTCCTAGTGAGGCAGGGCCTGTCCTCAAAAGCCTGTCTGCTTCCCTTTCTTCCCAGTGGAGTGATGTCGCATTTATCATTGGGAGGTCAGCCTCAGGCCTTGAGGGTCATTCTTGGCATTCAGCCAGTGAGTTACCAGGATTTCAGAGTGAAGAGTAGTAGCACCCAGAGAGGCCGCGTAGACTGAGGAGTGTGGAGGGTGGAAGCAGAGAAAGGCAACCTAAGCGTCACCAGGCATCTGGAATGGTGAGGAACACAGGAAGGCCTCTCCACTGAGCAGGAGGAGAGAGGCTGTGTCTCTATTTGGCAGCATATGTGCATTGAGGATGGAAATTAAGCTGCCAGTGATGATGGAGAAAACTGGTGACAACAGTGATTATAGCTGTTGAAGCAATAAAGCTGGTAGACAAAAAAAAATTGGTTTAATACGGCATAAGGAATTCCAGCTTCAGTTACTTACATGAATTGCTTATTATCTGGCTTAATTATTATCATTTTTAGTAATCATGGTACTGTTAAATGCATCAGATTTATTTGTGTGAATTTCATTTGTTTGCAGTGCTAGCTTCTCTCTACTTACATTGATTGATTGATTGTTCATCTGACTTAGCCTTTTTACATTCGTAGGTTGTCTTGTTCTGTTAGGTAATTTTCATCTTTTGAAAGATAGTTTGTATATCTGGTCACATGAAAGGCAGGGTATTTGGTTATAAATGGCCATAAATTTTTCAGTTTAACAGGCAGGCATTATAAAATTGCCCTGTTTTTTCCTAGCTTTCTCAGGGGAAACATAGTGTTTGCGTCTAAAAATACCCCCGAGCATAATTGAGGACTGAGTGGGGTTACAGGTTGTCATGCCTGGTTAGGGTGAAATGAGATGGAAGAGGCCATGGTGAAGACCTTGTAGAATCTAGAGTAACAGGAGGGAAGGGGGCTTTCTGGAGAGGAACTGAGTATTTCCTGTATAAAGAACAGTGACCATAGAAGGCTCAGGAAACTTGACGTGGGAAACCTCAGCATTTATTGGTTTCTATTTTACGGGATGCTGATGTTAGAGGGAAGAATTTGGCCAAGGGTGTCGCACAGCAATTTGTATAGTACCTGTTTGGACACTGACTGCTGAGAGGTGCCTATGGTTTTGCCCTACTCACCTTTGTTGGAAACACTCAAGCCAGCATTGCTTTGAAGAAACATTAGTAATCACGCAGCTGTTTTAATGACTAGGAGAAGAGACGGGATATCTGACTCTTTAAATTTCATTTTCTTCTTTTTTTTTTTGTATTTAGTGCAGGGTCTGCAGGGTCTCACTACACAGATCAGACTTGTAGTGATTCTGTTTTCAGCTTCCTGAGCACTGGGATTACAGGTGCATGCCACCATGCCCAGGCTCGAGCACCTTCTCAGCATGCCCCAGGGGCAGGGCTGGCATGGCAGGCTGAGGATTGAACCTCTGACCCCTGTGTGTGCCTCAGCAGGAGCTTTAATCTGCTGAGCTGTCTGACTGGCATTTAAATTTCATTTTCAAGTGGGTTCGGGAAGTGACTTTGTGTCCATGATTCATTAAATTTCAAAGGTACATACAAGGAAAACTCTTGGTAAAACTATGTTCAGTAATGCATACAATACTTTTAGAGTTGGAGAATGAGTGCGTGTTAGACCAAGGCCATCTTAGAAGGCCCTCATATTTCAGTTTTGAATGCCAAGGGGCTTGGTACATGGTAGGTACTCAAAATGAACATGTTGGACTGTGTGTATAAGTTTCCTCTTAAGTGTACAGGGGCTGGTGATTTAGCTCTGTAGTAGAACACACGCTTAGCATGCACGAGGCCCTAGGCTCAACCTTTAGTACAGAAAAACGAAAAAAGTGTCAGTGGAAAATAGTACCAGCTGATGTTTATTCGGTGTTCCTGTTGCCCATGCTACACATGATCCTTCTTACCGATGTAGATGGGGCTTGGTTTTGGGATCTTTCCCTCCAGGATACCAAAATCTATGTGCTTAGGTCCTTTGTATAAAATACTTATTATTTGCATATAGTTGTCATAGATTATGTATAATACTTAATAGTATGAATATGCTAAATAAATAATTATCGTACTGTTTTGTTGAGACAGGGTCTGACATGTAGTTCAGATTGGCCTTGATCTCACTAGGTAGCTCTCCTACCACACGGAAGTCCTCCTGCCTCAGTCTCTCCAGTGCTGGGATTACAGGTGTGAATGTATTGTGTGGGGAATGACTATAAAATTTATAAATAGTCTGCACTTGATCAGTTCATATGCAGTTCTTTTTTCCCCCTGAATATTTTCTATCTGAGGTTAGTTGAATCTGTGCTAGAGAACCTGCAGAGACAGAATGCTGACTGTTCTATCCAGTACAACCACAGGGAGAGGCAGGCATTATGGTGTAGCACTCTTACAGAGGAGATTGCTGGGCAGAGCACAGTTGAATAATTTCCCCAGTGGAAGCTAGCATTCAGCGCCACAGGAGTTTGACTCATCACTTAACTCTGGATCCTATGCTAGCTTATCTCATATGCAGAAGGAGTTGTTAAATTGTCGTGACATGCTATGCTATAATGACATGTAAATATTTTCTCAAAAAAGGTCAAATAGCTAGTATGTTACCAAAAAGCAGTGGGTTGAAGAACTTGATTGCTTTGGTAGATTTATTAAATGAAGTAGGGAGACCATAATTATTATGTAATAATTTTCATAATTGTGAAAAGTATTAGGAAGTATGTGGTAATGGCAGGAATGAAGTGTGCTGTTTTGGTAACTGGACTATGCCATCTCCCTGTCGAAAGTCATTTGTCCTTTATGTCTTTGAGGTGAAAAGTATTACAGTTCTTCACACTTTTGACTTACAGGGGGATTCCTCGATGTCAATGTAAGTGAAGTCAGCTTTGATGAAGTACATCAGCTCTTCTCCAAGGATTTAGATATTGAGCCAGGAGGTCACTGGAGGCCCAAAGACTGTAAACCCCGATGGAAGGTAAGACAGTTTTTTTTTTTTTTCTTTTAATAAGTAATGTGACAATGGCTGTGCTTGTGGAAAAAACATTGCCTGATTCGAAGTATAGAGTGAGATACCATTAAGATTTGATACATTTAAGATATTAGAATGTTTGTACTTAATAGATCGTTTTTTACAGTGATAGTGACTTAGTGGTATTACTTGTACAGACTAAATGTTCCTGTGCTTAGACCACGTTGTGCTCGTGGGTAAGTCTCTTGGACTTCCTGGTGTGCAGTACATGACTTGAGTTTTACTTGGAGAATAGACTTCTTTTTGGTTCAGTTCTGTTTGGAAAAAGCAACTGTGAGTCCTCTTCCTCCTGCAGGACTCTGGTTACTCCTGACACCTGCAGGCGTAGCCCGTGGAGCTCTGAAACTAAGGAGGCCTAGCGTTGGGGTTACCTAGCTGTATTTCTCAGCCTCAGTGATTCTAAAACAGTCACTCAGAGGTTACTGTGGGACCTGGAAGGAAGGCCTACTGTTGGGTTTCACGAATCAACAGAGACTTTTGCTATTTTAGAATTGTAGTTAGTGTTTGAAAAACTGTGGAGGTAGATCTGCCTCTGTTCTCAAAATCTTAAAAACTATTGTTTAAATACAGTTGGGGTCAACACTGTGAAAATGATTAACAAGTGTGTGTTCATACAGTGTTACATTTGAGTAAGAAATGGTACTTTTGATTGAATCACATGCTAATGTCCTGAAGAATTATGATGTAACTTTAATCTGAGAGCAGTTTTCTGTATCTGTTTTAAACCATTAAAAAATATTTGTATGTTGATACCCTCAAAAAACTCACTGGTCAGAAGAATTGTATATTAAAGTCCTGGAAAGGATCTTCTAACTTCGCTGACCTTGAACTCTTTGTGTTTAGTGATGTGTATAATTAATGTCTGCATCCCGGATGCACAACATACTGTTTTTTGTAAGGTAAGCAGTGAGCACAATTTTATTGAATTGCCTTTATGAGACTAAATAAATGCCTTTTTGGCCTTGTTACAAATGATTAATAAACATTTAGCTTTCTCAGACAAGTTACAAAGCTGCTTAAATGAATTTCAGTACAAGTTTCAACAGAATACTGTGTTGTATAATTGCCTTATGCTATTTCCCAGCTCAAGTTTTATTTAATAAATGAGTCTTTCGGTATTTCTTGATTGTGTTTTCTCACATTTGTGTCTGTATGACATGTGGCTCAATTTACACGCACTTTTGCTTTTAGAATTCCTGCTAGGCAGATCAGTTACTTTATTACTTGAGTGATGAATGTGTGTACTGAATGCTAATGAAGACAGAAGCTCAGTGACGCAGACTGTAGGGTCTGAGAGAGGTAGATGTGGGGCTGTGATGTGACACAGCACGCCCCTGCATGTGTGCTGTGCATTGTATTAGCAGAGTAACTTGGAAGAGAAGAGCAAGTGTTGTACTTTTTCCTGAAGTCAGTATTACATCCAATGGATTTTATGTTTGATCATATGTTTTCTTCTAGTTTTCTTGGAGTAGTTCACAGTAGTAGTTCCTACTTATAGGATATTAGAGCTCAGCAAACTCCGTGTGACTCCATAGATTATAGTACTGAAAAGAATTACTGGAAACTGACTTAGGGCTCTAAAAGTTAGCTTGTTTTATTTAGGTATTATATGATATACTTGTTTCAGCTTTTAGTGAAGCTTTCTCTAAATATAGTCTTTAGTTCTAGACTGTGAAACTACTAAGGTATGAGAGGAATTCTAGGAACCATTCAAAGATGCACACTACTTATGATATTTCATTCTTTCCATTACACCTTCCTTCTTGTCTACATTTTAATGATGTGCCATTCTAGTATTGGAATATGTTTGAGAAAAAGTAAAAGAAAAAATAGATTTATGTTAAATAGCTGTGGGTAACATAATTCTTAATATTTGATGCTCTTTTTTGAACCACGTTAAATGATACTCAGTTATAACTGTGAGCTACTAAAATTACTGATATCAGCAAATCCTGGTTCCTGATAATGCAGACTTCTAGAAGATTTCTGCGCAAGTTAGACATTTTCTGAAGGCAGGTATTTCTAAAGGGGAGGTTGGAAGGTGAAGATGGTGATGCTTTTCAGGTAATTAAAAGTGACATGTTATCTTGACATTGCCTTTCCACCCAGAGTTCAGGGGAAGGACTTGACTGTACATTCGCAGGCATAAAGAAACCAGGTTGTTGCTTGGCGCCCTTGATTGGTAGCCTGGAATTATACTTCTAGTCCATGATCCTGTAGAGATGGAGCTGAGCTACTTGTATCAGAAGTACTTGAGCTTTTTGATAAAAATGCAGATTCTTGAATGAAGTCTTCATTCATTCTGACTCTGATATTGGGAAGGGACAAGAATCTACAAAGGTAAATGTTAATCAGATGTCTACAGTTTTCTAGTGCTCCTGCAATTAGGAGCAATTAGAGAATGAGGGTATGCTGGCTCCCTCTTCCCTTAACCTAGCTCAGCACAAATAGCTAGATAGGCTTGGAAATACCCAAATCTAGAAGCCATTTAGATTTTTAGGGACTCCCTAGCTGGTGCTGTACTTGAAGTCTAAAAGTGGGGCAAAAGCTGGTGGAAGAAGATTACATGGTAACATTTTCTTGTTTGTCTTATCTTCTAGTAGCACACTGAGGAAGAAAAAAAAAAAGTAGGTGTATAAGTTCAGTAAGTTGAGTGGCTCTAAAATGGGAACAAACTGAATGGGATAATTGTGCTTCCACAGAGGTGATGAGGAAGGGCTTGCGAAGATGAAGCACTGTTCTTTGAGAAGATAATGACACGCTATGACCAGCTGTTCTTCATCTCCACTGGAGATGGATCACGAGGAGAGTGGCTCGCACAGCGAGTGAGGGCAGGTGGAGCAAAGTGTGTTCTTAAGCTGAGGCCATTTGGTGTCGAAGTGAATGGTCAGAGAATGCTGAGGTGTTCTTTTTCTAGACTGTAAATTATAAACTATTGGGAATGTCTTTCTACAGCTATCAGCGGCATGGCAAATGAAATTTTCATCTTTATTTTAATTTAAAAAGTGTTGGTTTAGGCATTTCACCGACAATCTTTGATAACATCTCCTTGCAGTTTGAGCATTTATTTGTTATTAAAATGTCAGTTTAACTTACTTAGATTTGCTAAGACATTGGTGATTTCTTTCTCTTATAATATTCTCTTTTCCTTTTAAAATTAAAAAGAATCTGCCCACAACATTCTAAATGCTTCACTGAAGAGTTTACTGTTTTAAGGATTACAACTTTGCCTTTGTTTACTTTATGTCTTCAATGCATAAATTAGCTTAATTGTATTTAATTAATATAATCCCAGAGCCATTCCATTTCTTCTTCCCTTAAATATAATCTGCCTTGACTGCTTTGTGTGTGTACAAGTGCATGCCATGGGGAGTGAACCAGGGCCTTTGTATTCAACTACATTCCCAGCCAGTTATTTAGTTTGTGTTGAGATAGGGTGTGACTAAGTGGCTGAATTGTCCAAGCTGAGCTGGAACTACTGTCCTGTTGCGTGAGCCTCCTGGAGTGCTGGGATTGCAGGTGTACACCATCCAGCCCAGCTTGCCTTAGGTGCTCTTCTAGTCCATTTGCAGTATGTCATAGATGGCCAGCTTCTGGCCAGATGCAAAACCAGGAATGCAAAGCTTGATGATGATGATGATGAGATGATTTATTGATTTATTAATTTTTCTAAAAGTTACCATGTCTTCAAATAAGGCACCTGTCAGGGTCATGCCCTAGCACAAAACTCATCTTTTACTTCTTGTAGCAATTTCCTACATTAAGAGAAAGTCTAGGGGCCTCTGAACTGGCTTGGAGCTGCATCAGTTTGGCAATTCCTGAACTACAGTAACCATACTGGAATCTGGCAGCAAGCCCTTATCTGTGAGAAGTTCCCAGCACAGGCAGGGATCGGAAGTAAGGCAGTCCTTACTTCCTGGGTTCCTCTTTCCCATCAGGCTCATGGCTGCTGTTGTCTCATTGTTTGCAATCTCAGCATGAAAGGAAACTGGGCAGTGTCATTCTAGTTTGAGCACCTTCAGTTTTACTAAACAGTATAACCATATTTTATTTTTTTAAATAAAACTTAAAAGTTTAAATTTTTATCCCATTTTTTATTCTGGTAATGAAAAACATACAGGTAAATGTTGCTATTTTTCTGTTTTGAAGGGGGCTGGGAGTTGAACTCAAGACCTTATACATGCTCAGTACTCTGAGCCTTACCCACAGCCCTAATGTTACTGTGTTTCTGACAGTGTCTAATGTGTCTTCATTTTACGAGTACAGTTAAGTCCAAAATTTTTGTACTTTCAGTTATTCACATTTGAGCTGGGGATATAGCTCAGGGGCATAAGCTTGGCAATTGTATGGTCCCGAGTTTGATCTCCAGTACTGCAAGCAAAACAAAACAAACTTTCAGGGCCGGGCCGAACTTTCAGCTCGGTGGCATAAAGCTCCTGCCTGGCAAGTGCAAGGTCTGGAGTTCGATCCTGGTTACTGCATGCCATGCCAGCCCCAGGGTCTCACACCTGCAGTCCCAGTGTTGGGGCGGCTGAGACAGGAGGGTCATTATAAGTTTGAATTGTGTAGCAAGACCCTGTATCAATGGGGCTGGTGAGATGGCTCAGTGGTCTAAAGCACCTACTTAGAACAAGCTTAGCAAAGCACAGGGACCGCAGTTCAATCCCCCAGCACCACATGCCAGCCAGCGCCGCCCCTTGGTGGGCTGAGCTGGCCACACACACACACACACACACAAATAAATAAAATTTTAAAAAAATTTTTTAAAAAGACCCTGTATCAAATAAATGTTTTTAAAATATTCATATTTATTAGTAATATTAATTTGGTAGAGATACATTTTTAATCATAGTTATGTTGTTACATAATTTTCTGTTATAAAAAATTTAAACTGGATTTTAAAATCCAGTACATAGAATGACAGAGCTATTTTATAATTTTACTTATTTGTCTTAATTTCAAATTTTATTTTAAAAATTCACAATTATAATAAAGCTATGTTAGTCCAGAAATTACTAAGAAGAGTAATTTAGAAAACATTTTGGTAAAAAAAGAATAAAAAAATTTTTTAAAAAGAAAACATTTTGGCTCCTCACAGAGCAAAACCTGATTTCTAAGGAGACCTAGCTTATATGACACTGTACCCTATAAATATGTACAGAATAAAGGAAAACATAACATTTTGGGTTTTAAATTGGATTAAAAAGTGGTTCCACTTGAGTATATATTTTCTTCATCTGGCTTATCTGGCCTAGAGACATTTTTCAGAAACATAGTAGCAAAAACCAAACCCTTCATATGTAAAGTTTGAGGAAGTAGAGAATTTAAGAAAGCAACAGCTGATACTTATCTACTTAGTCCCATATTGTGCTAACACAGTTTATAAAGATCGTGTTTAGTCTTAAGTAAAGACTGTTGTTTAGTCTTTTTAGTTTTTTGGTTTTTTTCTTGCAGTGCTGAGGTTGAAGCTAGGCCTTGTCCCTGTGAGGCAGTCGTTTAACCCTGTTTCCCTTCAGTTTCACATTAGAAGGAAGGGTGATGTATGAGAAGCTATTTTCATTTCCATATACTTTTTTTTCTTCTTCTTTTAGGATGAGCATACATTTCTTTGGTGTATAAAGGACGTACTTCTTTTTTTTACTGTGCTCTGTGTCATGTATTTGTTAAGCTTAACAACATAACCAGAGATACATTTAACGTATATCAAAAACTTAATTGTACATTTTGATTACATGAAAAATATTTTAATACAGTATTACACTTAATGCATATTTCACATTAATATATATGATTGAGTGACTTTAGTAGGCTATGGCTGAAACTTCTAAGGGTCATGGTTTTTGTCCTACAAATAGCATGAGAAATCACTGGAAGATACTAAGAGTGCTAAGTCATATTCCAAACACTGCTGTGGTGGCTGTGCACAGAACAGGCAGGGGAAGACCACAGGGGACCCAGAGAGCTGCCTCAGGAAATGAGTGCCATCAAGCCAGAGCAGTGCAGGTGGACCACAGCAAAGGGAGAGAAGAGAGGGACATGGATTTTCAAAGGAGGAAAGAGAGGAACAGCATCTGGCTAAGGACTGAACATGAGGAGTGAGGAAGAGTTTGGTTTATATTACTGTTTCTAAAAATATTTCTAGACTAGATAAGACATGTGAGGCTAATATTCAAGTGGAAACACTTCTCAATTCAGTTCATTTTTTTATTTTGTTTTTCTCTGTCAGGCTGACTTTGAACTCACTTTATAGCCTAAGCTGGCCTTGAACTCACAGCAATTCTCCTGCCTCAGCCTCCTGAGTGCTGGGATGGTAGGCATGTGCCACCACTCCTAGCCTTTCAGTGCCAATTAAGATTCCAACAGTTGTTTAGTTTTCCTTTTAATTGACATGTGGTAATTGTACATTTTTATGATGTACAGTGTGATAATTGAGCACATATATGCAGTATATAATGGTCAAGTCAGGCTAACGAGCAGTTTCTCTCTTTAGCTGTTTATCGTAATGGTTAGTCTTTGAGCTCTCCTTTTCCAGTATGTCATAGGTTTTTGTGAACTGCGGCTACCATGCTGTGATACACAGCACTGACACTGCTCCTCTTAGGTATTGTGCTGTGGTACCCATGGCCCAGCCTTTGTCTCTCCTCCCATTACCTTTTCTGGCCTTTAGTAATACTAGTCTATTCTCTTGTTTGAGAACTTTTTATCTTCCACATATGGACAAGAACTTAGTATTGGTGTTTCTGTGCCTGACATTTGTCACTTAACATAATGTCCTTCAAGAAAGTTGTTACTTTTATCAATTTTAAAACCTAAAACTAGGCCAGGTGTGGTGGCACACGCCTGTAATTCCAGCACTCGGGAGGCTGAGGCAGGAGGAGTGTTAGGAGTTCAGGATCAGCCTGGGCTACAAAGTGAGCTCAAGGCCAGCCTGAGCTGCGTGGCAAAACCTTGTCTAAGATTAGAAAAAGAACAACAACAACTAAAATTAACTCTCCCCACCATCCCTGTTCCTCACTCCTCATGTTCAGTCCTTAGTCAGACGCTGTTCTTCTCTTTCCTCCTTTGAAAATCCATGTCCCTCTCTTCTCTCCCTTTGCTGCGGTCCACCTGCACTGCTCTGGCTTGAAGGCACTCATTTCCTAAGGCAGCTCCCTGGGTCCCCTGTTCTGTGCACAGCCACCACGGCAGTGTTTGGAATGTGACTTAGCACTCTTAGTATCTTCCAGTGATTTCTCATGCTGTTTGTAGGCAAAAACCATGACCCTTAGAGCTGTCTTCTGAACTGTCTGCATCTCCCCAGTTTCTTGTGAAGGCAGGCCCGCTGGGCGCTTGCTCTTGTATTTTGGTGAGAAAATACATAAGGGGATGATGACATTAAAGCTGTCAGAAGTTTCCAAGCATTAGTTTTTATCTTTACTTCTAGAATTTGCTGCCATATTTATGTATAAATGTGACTTTTGTTTTAAAGGTGGCAGTTCTCATTCCTTTCCGTAATCGCCATGAACATCTTCCAATTTTTTTCTTGCACCTGATTCCGATGCTCCAGAAACAGCGGCTGGAATTTGCCTTTTATGTCATTGAACAGGTGAGAATAGCTTTCTAAAGGGTCACTATTATGGAACTTAAACTCTAAAATACAGCTTGATTAAAAATGTTAAGATTAATCAGGTAGCTGTTGGTTTTATAGTTGACTACAGTTGTATTTTAGATTGAGTCTGTACTGTTTTGTTTTAATAATTTTCTTATAATTTGATCAAATAAGTTGCCAGTCCTTTTTAACTTCATGGTAGCCCCAGTATATTTTACTGACACATGAGACATTGGATTCCCAAATTTAGATTTTTTTAGTAATTACTCAGCTGGTATTTGTCTTACAGGATGAAATATTTCTTCGACTTATTCAATTTATGCTTTCATCAGGCTTATGGTTTTTGTTCCTAAAAACCTCTGTTAAGTTTCATTTAGTTGACAAGTTGCTTATTTTGTAATGTATGCTGTTTGGGAACCTTTAGCCTCATATGCTGCAATTTGCTGGTGTGCAATTGAAAATCCTAAATTATATGAACACCTGGAATCATCTAAGATATGTTCATAATACTTAAAAGAACATTTCAATGATAATAACAATAAGCTTCTCTTCTGGAGGTTTAACAACCTAAGTTTGCAGACCAAAATTAGAGAAAAAGGAGGGCCGCAAGGAAAGCTAACATTTTGGCCCGAGCCTTCCAAGGTCAATTAAGACTCAGGACATATGAGAACTTGTACTGTAATGTCATGTAACTCAGTAGTGTCCCAAATTTTCTGATCAAGGAGGTTTGGGGCCAAAGAGGAAAGTGATCGATGATGTAGAGTGTGCCTAAGGAGAGTCACATGGAGAGAAAATATTCTCTCAGGCTTTCACAGAGAGCACGTTGCCAAGCAATGGCCGTGGCTTATCCACATGGCTGACACTGACAGAGGATCTACAATCTGAGGTACAGGATCTCAGGATAAATCCTGAGGGGATTTGACTGACCTTCTCAGATCCAAAAGCTACAACTCTTGTTGCATAGGTCTTGCTTTATCTTGGTCTTAACCATCCAGCAGAAAAGTATAAAAACGACATATAAGAAGTAAAGCCATGCTGTTATGTTGAGCTGTAGGGGACTCAGGTCAACAATTTCTGACATTGCCAGTGAAGTGGAAGACCCAATACTATTATGGACTACTGGACTCTTTTAGAATATTTTGCTGAGTTAACACACCTACAATATTCAAATGACAGAACTAAACAAAAAAGGGATACAGGTGAATGTCCATTTTGTATCTTGTGTATTCAAAATGGTTAGGATAGATATAAAATTACATTCTCTTAATGAATAGAGGGATTTGTTCTAATAGTGTTTGTAAATAGGATATCATGTCTGCATCTTGTACAGCAAATAACCACTAGGAATAGAGTATACAATGTGTTAATTATTGGAACTGTCCTACCAATTTGATTTGAAACTCTCTCATTGCTATTTATTTCTCAATAAAATTATGTGAAAAAAAATAAAGTCACTGAAGTCCACTTAAACTGTAGATGAACTCATTCCTTACCCCCACTCTTCGTAGCTAATCAGAAAACCATAAAAGTAGGGACAAATAGGACCAATTGAAAAGCAGGCTAAATGTTAAAACACAGGGTTGCCTGACCACCAGATGTCAACAGTTTCTGGGAAGTATAAACCTTGTGATATTCTTGTAACATTCCAAAAAATGAGGTAAAGTGAGGATGTGGTTACCATGGAAACCTAAAAGATGTTTAGGTGTGTTTAAAGTCCACCCAGGGCTGACATCGTTCCTGGCTTCTTGCCAGACTTGTCACACACTGGCTTTAAGAAAGCTTCTTTGTTCCTATAAAAATAAAATAGGATTTCAGTTTCTACACTTGATCTTAGCCAAAAGGCCAAGAAGCGATAGGATTTCAGTTTCTGAACCATGAATTTAAGTATAGAAAGTGAAGGATAATTTTTTCTGGTGGTGGTATTTTCAACAGCAAAACATTGATAATTCTTGATTGAGAATTTATTTTACTACAAAGCAGTTACTGGTTACCCCTCAATATTAATATTGTGTGAATTTCTTTTGGTAATTAGGGGCACCTGAATAAGAGCCAGGTGGTAATCCTAAAAAAAAAAAGGTGATACATGTGAACATTTGCTGTCCTGTGTTTAGGTTTTCAAAGTGATCTTTTTTTTTTTTTTTCAATTTTATGTATTTGGTGCAGGGTCTCACTGCACAGCTCAGACTCATAGTGATCCTCCTGCCCCAGCCTTCTCAGTGCTGGGATTATAGGCATGTGCCACCGCACCCAGTCTTGGTGGCCGAGGAGTAGCACTATGTATGACAAGTACATACTGATAAAAAAAAATTAAAAGAAAAAAAGAAAAAGAAATATATACGCTAAAAGGCAGTGACCACATGGATTTGGACAGGGGTCTGTGTTCATGTGTGATTGGTTTCCTTT